TACACACTCATCATTTCCACATAAACATCTAGAATTATGTTCAATTCACTCCATGTATCATATAAAGATGACTAATGTAACCCATAAAGACCGACTCACGACTCTATGCAGATGCAAATGTGGTACCGACTCAATTCAGCAGATTCTCCAAGGAATCAAGTATTCAGCAGATTCTCCAAGGAATCAAATATTCATCAGATTCTCCAAGGAATCGAATATTCAGCAGATTCTCCAAGGAATCAAATACTCTGCAGATTCTCTGAGGAATCAAATGTTCAGCAGATTCTCCAAGGAATCAACATCGCTAGGATGTACATCATGATGCCTTTATGCAAAATGACTCACAACATTACTCTACATGCATACATATTCACAAATATATCACTATGCATATTCACAATATACTTATACTCCATAAAACACACATACTCTTCATTTCAACACATACCATTCCATATAAGGCATATATTTTTTTCACAATCAAAGTTCCACATTCTAGGATTCACGCCTTGCGGCTACCCATACATATCATACCACACGACACACAAAACTATTCAATTCGATAAAGATTACACATAACTGAACAAAGAAATCCGCATGAAAAGGGAAAACACAGAAAATAGGAAAATGTTGTTACATTCTCCAACCTTTGTCGGGCGAAGCCTCTGGCGAACCTTCGCTACCTAGTTCGCCGGGCGAACTTGCCAGCAAAGACCACTGGGATTTATTCTAGAATTACTCGCTAGCACTCGCCTGCACACTCGCCTGGCGAACCTTCGCCATACTCCTTCGCCTGACGAACATGCCAATGAAGACAGGGTGGATGCTTCTGACTTAGTTCGATGTCGTTCGCCTAGCGAGCCTGCGAACTCAGAACTTCCATGGCTGTCCAAAGCTTAAACCTCACAAACCGACCGATTCTAAAACCCAACAACCCCAGTAAGTTCAACCCAATAACACCCGACTATCCTACTCCATCCATTCTCAATTCTAACCGGTTAAAACCACATTCCACCGATTAAATCCTAATATTGCCCTAAGATGGAAATGAGTAGAAACTCTTCTCGATCCAACATCAAACGATTAACAGGATACATAATCATACACATTAACAGTATAATAGAGTTTCACACCCTTACCTGATTGATCGAAAGCTTGGATGTTGATCTTTGATGAAATCCTAGGTTTTCCTCTCCTTTCTCCTATTTCTCTTCTCTCTTCTTTCTTTCCCTTGTTTTTCCACTAATGTTTCTATCTATTCCTTTTTCTCTTTTATCTCATGTTCTATTTTCTTTCCTCTCCATTTCTTTCCAAACACTTACCAATTAATTCTCACACAACAATCCACTTAACACTCAATACTAAATGTCTAAAATACCCTTTACTCTATTTTCCTCGAAAACTCTCCAAATTGGTAAAATAGCACAATATTGAAATTAAACATATCAACACATAAATTTCACAATTAAAATACCAATTATCCAAATGAATTAAAAAGGACTCAACAAAAATGGGAAATTCAGAATTTGGGGCGTTACAGAAGTCATGAGGATCTTTTCCTCGGCTGAGGTCTTAGTCGACCAGTCAACGATACCACGACGAGAGTCCTCCTCAACAGGGATATTCATCGCAAATATATGACCCCCTTGAGGAGGAGCCTCCTCGACACGAGGATTCATTGGAAATACAGGGATATTCATCGCAAACTCATGGGCCTCACGAGGAAGGACCTCCTCGGCATAACAACTTCAATGGAAACTCATAAGCTTCACGAGGAAGACCCTCCTCAACGCATGAACTTCATTGGAAAACTCGAGCTTCACTGGCGTAACTCATACTCATCGCCTTAACGATGGCGTCGAGGCGATTTCCTACTTAAAACTTAACTTTTCTAGCCTAACATTCTCATACCTCCGGTGTTTGGAAATCACTAAGCCACCACCAAACACCAATACCCTCCAGAACCCAACATGCATCATCCCAAAATAACCAACATCTCATTACTAAGCCTCGACGAAATCCCAACATGCAAACACTCGCGAGCACAACCTCGGCGAAATTTTGAAGCAAATTCAAGAGAAGCTTGGCAACTCGCGAGCATAAATCTAACGCTTAACACGAACGCAGGTTAAGTCCCCGACAGCGGACCCTATGCGACGTTTCCTCCCTAGGAGCAGAACTCAACGAGTCATGAGTAGAACCTTGTGTATCTTGTAAAGGCTCTCCTCGTGTAAAGTCCCTTGTTCCTCCTCGACACACAGACTGACACTAAGTCATTGACCCCATGCCTGGGGACAACAACTTGGGGGGCTCCGTTCTAGGTTAGGCTTGTGGCTGACCCAACGTCGAGCACGAACCAGTCCAGCCCTGCGTCGAGGACGACCCATAATACTGGCCTAATCCCTTAGGGCCAGTAGAAGACATTTTCTCACGTTATCCTCACCTGAGGACACTTCATTAACTTGGTCTGCACATCTCGTGGAACCAGTCTTCCTTACGTAACGGGAAAGTCCATCCACTATCCCACTATTCGGGGAATGCGGATCAGTTGACCAGGAATGATGAGCATGAGCTTCTCATTCCTACCTCCATGTAGTAATCCTGACATTCATCTGTTATGGGTCTGATCACTCAGCCCATAACAGAGATCGTTGGCTCAGCACTGGGGACTCTCTATAATACCCTCATTTGCAGGAGGGTCAGATATTTTGTTCTATTCTATTCTTTACTCTTTTGATACCTCTTCACCCAACTGACTTAAGCATCAGAGTTTCTGCAAGTGCACCCCCTCCTCCGCTCTTGTTGACCGTTGTTGCTACAGAAGTGTTACCGGTCACGTTCTTATCCACAGGTTAGATTATATATATATATATATATATATATATATATATATATATATATATATATATATATATATATATATATATATATATATATATATATATATATATATATATATATATATATATATATATATATATATATATATATATATATATATATATATATATATATATATATATATAACCGAGTTGACTCATGAACCTAATGAATCGAACTATACATAATTCAAGTTCAACTCATTAGTTAACGAACTTAACTCTTTGCTCATATTCAGCTCATTTGGTTCATGAACCAAGTTCAATGATATAGTTACCGAGTTGAGTTTTAAACTATGTTCGAGTTGGTTTGGTTCATTGTCAGCCCTAACTGCGTAATTTTAAATGATTTGATGTGTCTCGAAGGATTGTCGTTGGTGACACCTTAAATTATCATGTACGACTTTTTAAATAAGTTTCAGAGTTTAGGGTGTTAGAACCCACATGATAGAAAATCTACACTTAAGTCGACAAATATTTTAATATACAGATGAGTAGGTGAGAAACATGCATGTGTGGATTTGATAAGGGGATTTTCTATTTATGCCACTAAAAACTAGAGTTTTTATTGTTGAACAAACAAACAAACCCCAAAAGTGATTTAAGTAAAATGGTCAAATATAAGAAAACATATTCGGACAATCAATATATTTTTATATAATTTGCATTTTATACTTTTGGTTTCCTTGCACCAAAAATAATAAACCATTTACAATAAATATAAAGGTTCATACATATTAACGTTGTCCTCCTAAAACTAAGGATTGATTATGTCATTCAAAAAGGGTAAAAGCATGATTTGTTTTCTTTTTGCCTTCAATTTTTTATAACTAAAAATTAAATCATAGTTTTTAAAAATTAAATGCAAAATTTAATTTTAAACATATGTGAAATCTTGCTAAAAATACGTGTAAATATTGTAAATATACCAAAGTTGAAATCTATATAGGGTTTAAAAGAGGTATAGTTCTCCTAGCAGTGCATTTTACTCATTATTTTTGGTGGGTTGAACTAAAATTTTCAGTTCTCACTCTCTACTATATCCAGATGGTTTCAACCTTTTGTCTCATTTTTAATAAAAGGTGAATATAAAGAAAGTGAACATGACTTTTTGCCACGCATATTCTGCCGAGCATGTTCTGCACCGTCCCATTTTTGACAAAACTAACAAATATTACATACTCGCTCCTCTATTATCTTAGTCTTACCCCGCATTTTTTTTAATAATTTAAAAAACTCCACATTTTTATAGTAATTTTAAAAACAAATAAATATAATCATGGTAGGGTAACTCGCCAGTCAACTTAAAATCATGCCATATATCCTTCATATTTATGATTCAATTGATATAAATTCGAGAGTCTATTGTTTTGACATACATATTAGTATGTTAAAGAAAAAGATTTTTTTTTGATAAAATACAAACAATTTATTATATAACTTATTTTATAAATTGTTTTTATTGAATATAGGGTTTTTTAAATAGTTTATATTTTGATAAAAATCAACCGTATTATTCTGAATTAAAAATTGTGAAAATTTACTAGTATTTATTTTTTAAGTATTAAGATAAGACAATTACTTAATTTATGTAATTTTGAAAATTTCTAAATTTGTTTAATTTTTTAATTCATTCGAAAAAAAGTCCCAAACATCAATCATTAACCTTCTATTTAAGATATGGTAATAGAACCGAAGAAAGGCCTTTTTTTGAGATGATAAAAATGAAGAATTTATTTTTGGTAATGCATAAACGAACGTTTCGAATTTGGCCTTTGTTTCAGCTCCAAGTCAGACGAACACATTATCGGCTAACTTTCCAGAATGATCACCCCAGAATGTCCACCACCACCACTTTCCACTTAAAAATTAATATTTTCCTAAAAAGAGTTTGTTTTTTTTTTTTTTCCTTTTTAAAATACTAATTTTCTTTTTACATTCCCAAAAATTCTTCACCGTACCAATAATTGTTTTTCCAATGGTGTCGCTCGCTAACCGCCTCACGATACTTAAAACATGACCCCTGAAACCCAACAAAATCGTCTTAAGTGCGTCACAAATACTAGTACCTCACGCAAAGAACCATAGCGCGTGGTGAATTATCATTCCATTCTTCAGAAAATGATGTTTCACGGTGGACGTAAGCTATTTCCCGTCGTCTATTGCGACGGCGTAAGAGAATTCGACCTGGGAATTCTCATGGTGGACCCTACTATGAATATCAAGAGTATTCTCTCTATCCTCAGTCACAAGATTGGGATCTCGCCACACCAGTTTTCTGTTTTCTTAGCCGACAATAACACTAACCGGAAAATTCCTTTCACCGCTAAGCTCAACCTCGCCACCGTGTCTTGTAACGGCGGTGCTGAGTATATTTATGTTAAGTGGTCTAGACGTTGTAAGAAGTCTGCGGTGCAGAAAAAGAATCTATCCGAGAAACTCATGCATCTCCGTCGAAAAGATGTTGTTGACGGAAATTCACGGCGTGCGTATGCGATGGCACCTTCGCTTTTTGAAAGAGGTGAAATGGAGAGAAGGATGTGGAATTTATGCAAGGAAAGAGATGCGGCGCTCTTGAAGAGTACGGACACGATTGAGTATTTGAGAAGGGGAGCGCAGATTGGAAACGGCGGCGGAAATGCTGTGTGTAAAGAGTGTTTGATGGCGGAAATGGCTGCCAATTTTCATCTGTGCGTTCGCGATGAGGTGGTTGTAGGGTTTAGGACTACGGCAGGACCGATTTCACGACCGGCAAGGAGGTCCGGTAAGGTTAGTCCTAGCGAGAATGGTTACTGATGGGGAGAGGTTTATATTTTTATATAGCCATGAAGGATGAAAATTGTGCATAGAAAATTAAGGGAAATTATCGTGTACGGTTTGGTATAGGATAAGCAAACATATTAATGTATATACTATATACACCATGGTTAATATGGTTAGACATTGAATTAATTTATCTGTAAAGGGGATTTTTATTTAGTGAATATCTTTCAATGTTAAGTTTTTGTATAAATAAATTAAGGAAGGTTGCTCTTGTGACGGTTTATTAGTTGTATTCGATGTGAGAATTGATGAGATGGTTAAACATAATCAGTAGTATTAAGTTAGTTATCCCTTAACTTTTTAAAGTGGATACTATGTAATAGGATAACATTCTGATACAATTTTTTAAATGTGATTTTTATTCTTTTTTTTAATATTGTTTAGGGATTTAAAAATCACATTTTGTTTTCTCCTTTTTAATAACCAATGTTATTGGTTATGAAGTTAGGTTTGGCCATTACACTTTATGCCGGTATATAATGGGTTATAATAATCAAGTTGAATAATAATTATATTTTTGTTTGGTATTAAATATATTTTATTCTTTTTTAATATAAGTGAGATAGTCTATTCTTCTTCACGTTTACTAGTATTCTCGTTAACTATTCATTCTTTTTATCAATCATCTCTTTGTTTTCGTATCACATTATCAAGATTTATAATCGTTTATGTATCACAAGTTGTGCATTCCACTGATCAGCTCAACATCACACATCCAAGGTCTAGTCAGTATCATAAAAACCTGTAATGGTGATAGAAGTGATGTTATCAAATTAGGAAAGAAACAAGCCATGGTTGAGAGTCCCTTGTAAATACCTTAGGATTATCTTGACTTCCTTCTAGTGATCTTTAAAAGGATAAAAAGCTGACACACTTTATTCATTACAAGGGAAATTTCAGGTATGGTAATTGTTGCATATTGTAGGTGTCGCAACTGCGAAAATCACCTGGCGGAAAACAGAAGAGTCGCCACCTTTCGTTATTTATCCCAAAGAGAGGGAAAGGAAACGATCGGAAAAACCTGACGGAAAAGGGAAAGACAAGGTCATCGCAACCAAGTCTGGATTCGGGAGTCGGTTACGCAAGGAAAAAATATTAGCACCCCTCACGTCCGTCATACTCGACGGGATCCACGCTTTGTTGTCTATCTAAAGGTGATTAAAACTATCTACGCTAAAGGCCAAAGGACAAAAGAAAAAGAAAGGAGACTCGGCAGAGCATCGCCGCTCTGTGCCTACGTATTCCCTCGTGCAATGGAAAAGTCAGAGTCAACGTAGTTCGACTAACTACGGGTGAAAGGGGGGAAGGTTACTCGCCAAGACATGCGTCTTGTGCCTACGTACTTTCATCTGGTATGAAAGATCGGAGCAAACGTGTTCAGGCTAAAAAGAACACCAGTTGGTTCAAAAGTTTTTAGGCCCGAGTAGGGTTAACAAGTAGTTCCAGCAGTTGGTGTATGCAGCTCGACCATTGGAGACTTAGGCGTTACCGTTTGCGGTAGAACTAAAAGTTAACAACACTCTTTTATCTGAAAAGATTTTCCCTTATTAGAATCCCGAAGGATGAAAACGATTTGAAGTGTTTTTGTGTTTTTTAGAGAAGAAGTGTTTTAATTATTGAGTGTTTATAATGTATGTTGTACTAAAGTCTAAAACCTAGGATCAAATGCATCGTATATCGTCCTAAGGACGTATACTAAACACTCTAGGAAATTGAGAGGTAACCGCTCAATCACCATTTCCCAAGTACAAGGCCCATGGCACAACATCCATTATCTTTATTAAGTATGTTAAGATTGTATGAAGATGAGAAGAGAAGAAAGGACCACTAATGGAAGACTAATTCAATCCTAAAAGTTATCATGCAAAGTGGACTTAAAGTTGGGATACAAAAGGGGACTACCTAATGTTATCATGCATGGTTAAGCACTTAATGTCTATCATAACCTCAAGAGGTTAGAGAACTTATGAGGAGCATGGCAAAGAAAAGAAAAAGAAGAAGAAGAAGAAAGAACATGAAAATGCAATTATGCAAACATAGAATGCACAAATAGGATGAAAGTGAGGGAGAAAATATGTGTGGGGCAGTAGCTTCCACAAGCTCATCTCAACCTCAAGTATGCATATGAGAATGCAAGAAAAGAAGAGAGAAAGAAATGCACAAGATGAAATCAAACAACAAGAAGAAACCACACAAAAATACACCAAAAGTGGGATGAAATGACCTAAGTCAAACAACATCAACCACAAGTGCCAAAAGCCAAATCAAATGAAAGGAAAAGAAGCTCAAAACAAAAGTGAGGATGGGAGGCTATATGAGGACATCAAGGAACTTATAATATGCACTCAACCATAAGCATCACAAGCAAAGTGCAAAAGAAGCACAAAGGAGTCCTCAAGGATTCATCATTTTAGGTATGCTTCAAGTACCTCCTAAGGAGGGACTAAGCCACCTTAAATGATACTTCAAGGTCATGGGACAGAATGGGAGATGATAGGAGGGATCTCAAAAGCAAAAGCAAACACATCACAAGAGAAAAGCAAGCTCATGCACAAGAGGATGCAAGCATGCTACACATGGAAACCCTAAATGGAAGCATCAAAAGAAGCACACAAATGAACAAGCACAACACAATATCATGAACTCAAATTGAGCAACTAGCAACGTTAACATGTTAGCAACATGAATCAAAAGGAATCAAAGGCTCAAAGGATCCATCAAAGTCATATCCAAGGCAAACTAGGTCAATGTGTATGTATGAACCTCCCTTTGGGGTAACTTGACTTGCAAGTTACCTCAAAATTAGGAAAATGATTCAAAAATAACCAAATAAAATGCACCAAGTCCAAAAACATGTTGGCAAATAGAAGCCAAGGGATTACAATCAAAATCAATTCACAACACCACCAAAGAAATTGATTCACAAGGGTGTCCCATTGTGAATGAGGATTGTCGAGGGTCAAATGAAATGCAACAAAAGTCAAACCAAAAGTCAACAAAATAGGGGGAAAATGGTCCTCAAAAATCAATCAACTCATCATGGATATGAGGATTGATTTTCAGTCATTGGATCAAAAGGAAGAAGCAAAAACAAATCAAACATAAGACAATGTCAAGAAATAACTCCAACAAAACACTTCCAATTGATAATCCCTTTTTAAATTGAAAAAATAATTCAAAAATAAAATAAAAATTTTCTAAAAATAAAAGACATCTCAAAGTGTCTCAAACATATTTTTGGTGAATTTTATCAACATTGGAAGTATTTTAATTAGAATTAAATCTAAACAGATATAAAACAAAATAAAAAAGAAAAGAAAAGAAAAATAAAAGAAACAGCGGTGCAAATAGCAACAGAATCACATGTAAACTCATGGGCCAGGTTGCCGGGGGGTGCGTAAAGCAAATGAGGGCCCAGTCCAAATAAAAACCCCGTCAAACAATGAGAAATAATCCCAGCCACACGATCCAAGACCAGTCAATCAATCCAAAGGTCCATAACATGACACACGTGCTCTCAGAATTAAAAACAAAAACCAAATAAAATCACAGCCAAACGATTAAGTCCAGGTCAAGCAAATCAAAGGCTGAGGGACGAGCTAGTGAAACGCACCGTTTCACTTAAAGCTCAGTCAACACAATCCTGGCCTTACGTTGTGATTACTAAACTACCATCCAAAGGCCATCAGGTTGCCACGTAATTAATGAAACTCAACACAAAATAAGATCAAATCATGACCATCAGATCTGGTCTTAGTCAAACAAATCAACATGGATCCAACGAACGTAAACAAGCCACGCATCATCTTCAACATTCAAACACAAAACGGAGGGAAAACCAGATGGCCGGAGCACGGTGGCTCCGGTCATCTTCTCCGGCGAGACACAAACACAGGCGAATCCATACATCACCAAATCATGCAAAATTATAGCCAAAATTCATCTACATCTCACGTAGATCTCAAATATGAACTTAGTTTTCATTAAACATGCTTAAACAAGCCAAATCGAAGAAAACAAAAATCACATGTCATACTGAAATGTTCACAATCAACAACCAATTGCATCCAGAATCCAAGCATGAAGTTCATACATCACAACAACACACAAATGGCAAGCTAATTCATCATGGATTGAGAGAATTTTGGAATTGTAGCTTACCTAGCGGAGAGCTTCCACTGAGCCTTGAAATGAGGTTGATTCTTGATGAAAAGCTTCCAGAAACAATGCTTGATCTTCGCTAAAGCTTTATGAATGCTCAATTCTTCTTGAAACTTGATAAAATGCCAAAAACGATTTTCACTCTTCTCTCACTTTTTCAAATTGTTTTTTCAGCAATTCTCAATCCAAAACCTGTTCTGATGACTTGTGAATGATGATGAAGTTATATACAATGGATCCTAATCACTTTGAAGCCCAATTAAAGCTTGCTTAGCCCAATTGCAAATCCAAAATTTCCTCACTTGGCAAGCTTCCAAAACCTGAAAAGAGAGTTGCAATGCCTTCCAACTTAGCTCAGGTAGCTTGCTGGTGATGAGTATTGATCCAAGGGCCGAGAATTGCTCCTCAATTTAATCTTGTGGTATGATTTGCATTTGTTACTTTCACTTGAAGTAAGCTTGCAAATGGCATGGTTTTGGACCTCAACTTGCAATTCTGAAAATGCCATTGTGTTTAGAATGTGATTTACACTCAAAATATGCACAAACTTGCACAAAATTGGTCCAATATGATTTAATTTGTTTTTTGGGTTCTTAATGACTTTTTCATGGAAATTCCTTCATCCAATCTTCCATCTAAGCCAAATCAATGGTTCCTTGATGTTTATTTGAGAAAATGACCCCATTTGGAGCAAGTTTCATGTTGAGAAATGTTTCATTAGAAGTGTGCAAGATAGTGAAATGGACCTATAATGAAAATGACCTGTAATCTTACTTTCCCAAAATACACTTGCCTTGCAAGCCTCATAACTT